CCCCTGGGTCTGCGAGTGTCTATGGGCGACGGTAATCACTTACCATCAGATGATCCGTCTGCTCGTTTGCCTCCTGTCACATAAAAAAAAAATGCCCATACTGATCCACTGCCCGACTAAACGAGGATTCCGTCAACTGGGACCGCAATTAACTGGGACCGCGGTCCCAGTCGCCGGATGCGTAAAAATTAAATAATTTTCTTCCGGCGACTGGGACCACTCATGGATTTTAGTACTGTACCGATTTTGGATTGAATAATATTTTCTTTTAAGTTATCTATGAGTGGTCCCAGTCGCCGGAAGAAAATTATTNTCCCAGTCGCCGGATGCGTAAAAATTAAATAATTTTCTTCCGGCGACTGGGACCACTCATGGATTTTAGTACTGTACCGATTTTGGATTGAATAATATTTTCTTTTAAGTTATCTATGAGTGGTCCCAGTCGCCGGAAGAAAATTATTAATTTTTATGGATCCGGCGACTGGGACCGCGGTCCTAGTTAATTGCGGTCCCAGTCGCCGGAAGCCTCGACTAAACTATCGGCCGACGAAAAATCGATGGTATGCGCCTACGCTAACTCAATCCGTGCCTGAGGTATGGGAACGTCACGGGACGTTTTTGGAACGTCAAACGACAGCGAGACTTTAAAATGTGCTTAAATAGTTCCTTATGCGAATGTGGCTTAGACGAAGGCACAACTAATCACATTTTCTTCAATTGTCCAAACGTAGGTTCCTCCTTATTTGATTTCCTCCCTGAAAGCGTCCCTCGCCCTACTAATATTAAATGTTTATTAAATTCTATGGACCCACCGCTTTTGAAACTATTATCAAAATTTATTCAATCCCGCAAAATTCGTTTGTAGGTAACCGAATTTTTTTTTCCTCTCACTATCTCATCCCACCTACCCCCTTCCTTACATTTTAATCTCTATGTTATGTATCTATTTGTGGTGTCTCAATTTGTGTTGTCTTTTTTGTTTTAGGTACACAAATAATTTTGCTTATTATTAGAAACGTTAAATATTTTTGTCTTTTGTAAACCCTGTTACTTTGTCAAAACTGTTTACGTGACATTGGCGAAATCATGGTTCTCAAAACCAAGCCGTTGCCATAATAAAAGAAGAAGAAGTTAAGAAGAAATTTAAGCACTAGACCTACAATTCCCCTTTTACTTTGTCTCTCTCTCAGCAAACATGAACGTTTCCTACCACAAAATTACTTAGCGAGCAAACAAAGAAAGAAATACAACAGCTGAGTAAAGCATTCATAGAAGCTCATTCAGAGCAGAACTGCAAAGCGGTTAATGAACACAGCCGGGCAGCCGTAACTGCAAGAGAATTAATCTTACTGTATTCCAAAACATAATAAAAGAGAATAATGTAAGTCGCAAACAGATTTGTTGTAACTACGCAAGTTGGACAGCAAAGTAAAGTTATTGTTGCAAGAATCTAAATATAATATTATAACTCAAAGGTGACTGACTGACTGATATAGTGATCTATCAACGCACAGCCCAAACCACTGGACGGATTGGGGTGAAATTTGGCATGCAGGTAGATGTTATAACGTAGGCATCCGCTAAGAAAGGATTTTACGAAACTCCAACCCTAAGGGGGTAAAACGGGATCCACGCGTACGAAGTCGCTGGCGGCTACTAGTAGTTACCTTAGATAAATACTCTTGAAATACTGTCTCAAATAATTAAATAATTTGACGAAAATTATCAGTTGAGAGATTCCTACTTTTACTAGGTTACGACAAAATGTATGCTTTTCACAAAAACTCGATAAAATGGCGTGTTCGTGTGCTTTTTTATTATTACAAGCTTTATATTGACTTCACTTGTTAGTATGTGTGGGACAAATCTTGCAACTGAATTTAAGACCAGTTCTTCTCAACCGATTGAGCTGAAATTTGTTATATTTTGTAAGTACGATGACAATGCAATATTATAGTGCCATTGAGCTGGTCTGATGATGGAGTCGAGAGGTGGCCATAGGAACTCCTAAACAAAACGGCGGAAACTCGTCGAGTTTGGGTTCGTTGGATTTGTCTTTTCAGATAATGTCCAGGGTCCTGAGATTAAGATAACTAAAAAGTGTAAAATAAAATTATAATAAGAATAAACTTTTTTTAAAAACAAGCTTTTATTCTGAATTTCGAAAGCTTGTAGCGCAAACAGAGAAAAAGAGGAATAATTCCATGCGCGATGCAAGCTTTCGAAATTCAGAATAAAAGCTTGTTTTTAAAAAAGTTTATTTTTATTATAATTTTATTAGGTACGTACAGGTAACGAGCTTACTTTAATTCTAGTTCCGTGCCACATCATGCGTTTAAATAATTACTATCCTGATACAAGAGGTCCTCAAATAAGTACAGATGACACCGTCAAACCGTCATTATTCAACACTGTATCGTCTTATGTAGGTAATAAGTTCTACTATGCAACAAAACTGTACAGTACGAGTTTTTTTTTTTTTTGTTTTCGGCACTTTTTCGATTTTGGTTAAAGTAGCTAATAATGTGCTCACAGTTTTTATTGAACTTCGAAAGTTCTGAGCTCCAAGGGCGTTTAGTTGCAGTCTGCTAATGGATACAGTCTGCTACCAAACGTGAAAAGAGAGAGAGATCCAACAATACGTAGCTTACAAGCTATGTTTTGTTGATCCCCTTGAGTTGATGGACTATTGAGTTAATGAGGGCTATGAACGTGACGATTGGTTGGGATTTTGTTATGATTTGTTGTGGTTTATAGGGGTCAATCCGTAAATTGTTGCATGTCATCTCGTGCTCATGCTGGAGTCTGCTAAATATTGGGCAGTCTCGCATGAGATGGTCAATATCCTGTAAGCTGGAGTCATCGCAGGGGCAGTAGGGTTGTCTATGATCTTGAAGCGGTGTAGGTAGGATTTGTGAAAACCGTGGCCAGTAAAAATCTGCGAGCTTTTAAAGGACGGCCCCAAATGCTTACGGAACTCCGCAATCTCGCCCACTGTTGTAAACCATCGGAATATGTTGGAGTGTATAGCGGCACTGGCATATTCTTCTTGCCATTTGGCTTGCGTACGCTTCCTGATGATGTACTTTGCAAACGAAATTGGGAACTCGTTTACACTGGTGGCCGTCCTTTGAGAGGCCGCTTCTTTTGCAGCTTTGTCGGCAGCTTCGTTACCGTCTATACCACAGTGGGCTTTGACCCAAATGAATTTCACGTTTGTGCCGTGGTTCTGCCTGACCAGTCTGAGCGCAGTGTGGATGGAAACCACTGATGGGTCAGGGTTTCCCCGATCCTGTAAGGCTTTAAGCGACGACAGACTATTCTTTACGAGATCGAATCAGAAATGAGATCCGTAAACGAACTAAAGTCGCTGACATAGCCCGACGGATTTGCTAATCCGTCGGGCTATGTCAGCGACTTTAGTTCGTGACAAGCTGAAGTGGCAGTGGGCAGGGCACATAGAACGCAGAACTGACGGCCGATGGGGTAACAAGGACCGAGGACCTGATAAAGGTAGCAGGAAGGCGCTGGATGCAGGCCGCTACCAACCGTGCGATGTGGAAGTCATTGGGGGAGGCCTATGTTCAGCAGTGGACGTCCTATGGCTGAAATGATGATGATGATGATGTGCTGTCGACTCTACATTGAGCATTCCCGATTGTCCAAGTACGAAACAATATTTTTCATGTTTATAACATTTACATTTTTTTATTTTGAAATATAATGTTTGTGTCGATGACAAATAGCTCCATACCAGTGCGAATTTTGTTTAAAAACGCACGTTCCGTAGTTCGTGATAAACAGCCAGTTTTTAGTGTAATAAATTAAACTTTTTGACAAATGGGTTAAGTAATTGGATTACGTTGCATTATTTTACAGAAAAAATCTCTACTAAAATGTATTATCAACTTTCCAAGAATGTCGATGTTGCCATAACCTATATCGATACCGGCTCTATTCTTCATTGTCACCTCTAATATATGAGACAAAATATAAAAATACATGCATGTGAACATAGAACCTACTCCTTTTTATAGTCGGTTAAAAAGAGTAGTAAAACATCCTAAGAAAAGAAAGGGGCAAAACATTTTCTAGGTATGTACATAAAAGGGTTACAAATAATTAAAGAAATTAAATGCATTCAAGAATTAATAATAATAAATTGGTCAAATTCGTTGAGGATAAAAAAAACCTTTTAAATATTTCAATGTTAGGAGTAGGTATTTAATACATTGATTTAAGTAGGTTAATTAAAAGTTTGGTGTGATTCAGTTACATAACCGGTATTGTTTCATAATTTCTACTCTGCAATTATTTCTTTTAAAGTTTTGAGACCAATTTCCATACTTAATAATGAACTTCACCGTACCACTCGATAATGGACTCTACAACAAAGTTTTACGGTTCATTATCATCTACCGTCTTACGATTACATTCATGCATAGCTTTAAAGTATACCAATCAGCTGATGAAGTGCGATGTCAGAAAGGGTGTAATCATTTGGGCTTTTTAAAGTTCTTACAAGTATATTATAGAATTTCATAATCTATATGAAACAACCAGATAAAAATGTCAATTATAATAATATTTTTAGATTTTTTATCCAATACGAAGAAGCTCTTGGCTTGCATCTCATCTGATGGTAACTGATGATCAGGCCGAAGGTGAAAAACGAGCTTCACCCGGAATCCTCAACCACAGAGGAACTGGCTATCTTACCTCCAACTGCCGGAACACAACAATACTCTTAACTTTGTTGTTATTGCGACAGACTTAGGTAAGATGGTGCTAGCTAGCCAGGCGGACTTAGAACAGGATCTACCTCTAACCAAACCGAACAGAAAAATCTGCCCTTACTGGGAATCAAATCTGAGACCTCTGAGTCTCGAACAGGTGGTCTTACCACTAGACCATTGAGACGGTTGAAGTCGCTATGTTAATAGCTAGCTGTAAATTAATTAGAAACTTAAAATAAATGTACAAGAGGTGTTAATACTCACATTGTAAAACAATCGATAATTTCAATATCCACCACATCTTCAGTTTATCCAATCAGTAGATAACTGCACCTTCACTACACACGAACGTCGAAATCACTTCAAGTCACATCAAAACTATTTCTATGATTAAACAGAACTAATTTTAAACTTCTTCACTAAAAAAGCGTTTTTCAATTGTTTTATCAATCCAAATATCACTGGTCAGCGATCTTCACTTGTTTTTTCAAGGATTCTGACGTCTATAATTATAATTTAAAAACACGTTTTCATTTGTTTTTGGAACGTTTTGAGTCGGTAAGCTGATAGTCACTTGTTTTTGTTTCGCTCGAGCCCCCGGTTTTTGAGGTTAGGTCCTTTGGCGCGTTGTGTAAGTCGAGACCGCGTAACGTGTGTGGGGTTCGAACCCGGGCTAGTAACTAACCGACGAACAAATGGCGTCCGGTAGCAACGGACCATATCGGAAGCACTCGCCGTATTGTGTAGTTATTGAGTAATTTATTCTGATAGTACTTCACTTGTAGCATACTGGTGGGGAGGTGTAAGATTTGTTAAGAAAAAAAAACCTTTCTTTAAAAAAAAAATAATGTTCATTAAACATTTTTCAATCCTGAGATTTGAACCAGCGACTCGGATGAAGAACAATAAATTCATCACATTCTTTTCACAGGACAAGACGTGTCACTAATAATTTCGTTGTTAACTACTTCTCAATATAATAAAGGTTCAGCCAAACCAACGCGATCACACGCGATCAGCCGGCGTGCAGCGATGGCGATGCAAGTCTGATCACCATCGCTGCACGCCGACTGATCGCGTGTGATCCCGTTGGTTCGGCTGAACCTTCAATCAATAATAAATAAGTAGCTAATCGTCGTTTTCAGTTACTTATTTATAGAGGTCAGGTGACAACATCAATCTATACCCACCCTATCACACCTTAGTCGTCGTAATTAATATTTGACAAAAGCACTTCAGTCTGATCATATGTACAGGTACACTATACCTATAACGAGCAAACTCGCAAACATTCGCCAATTCAATCGGTCATAAGTTCCATCGCCTTAGGAGCTTCTTCCGGCAATCCCTTAGCGTCGATTAACCATACTCGAACTGGCTAATTTGCATCCGTGCCTCTTTCGTATGCGAATATAGTAACTACTTATCCTATGGATATTTTTTGTACAAATATCAACTTAATAGCCATAAGAGTAAGGACGGAAATTAAAAGAAAACGTCTAGGTTATCCTACGTGCCTAAAATAACACTAAAAGCATTAGTAGTAAAGTACTGCAAAGTTCACAAGCGGTAACGTCTTATTTTAATAAAGCTAAGTAGATAACCGGTAATCTTAACCATATAAAAGTTTTAAAAGTAACTGTATACAGCCTATAAAAGATTGTTAGCTCCTTTTTACCCCTTTTTACAGCTTTTATGGTCTTACTTTGTTAATATTATTACGGTGATTAAACTCAAATGTGTTTCACAATTTTTGAAAGTTAGTTCTGCAGGTTTCAAAAATTAAAATTCTTTTTTCTTCCGCCTTTCAAATCGGAAACAAAGTTTCGTTAATATAGTATCGAATTTATAACTTAAAATGTTTATAATGACAACCTACAACAACGTAATCTCCCCACTAAATGTAAATGTGTGAACTGTACCTATGGCAGAGAAAACTGATAAAATAAATAATTAAGTTAAATAATTACTTCGCAAAAAATGCTCTACTTATTCTCAAAATAAATGACATCAGCTGGACTAGGATGAAATCATATCGATGATTGTAACGACAAATGTATGGGCTTATCACGTAAAATCGATAAAATGGCGCTATAAAACCTTAGTGCGGCGCGCACCCTAGGTCTATTCCTCTTAGATCACCGGGAATGAGTCACCCAGGTGATCAAAGTCGACTCCAGGTGACACTTAGGTGTCCTTTGATCACCCACGGATAAGAAGTCCATTTAGAGAAAGAAAATTATAAACTCTTAACGCTAAAAAATTAAATAACTAAGTCCATTTTCATTACCTAGGTGAACTTATCCATGGGTGATCAAAATTTCACCCGGAGTCCACGAAATAGAAAGAAAGAAAGAAAGAAATAGAATTTATTGAACACAGTAAGCACAAATTATAAACAATAACAACACAAAACGAATATATAAAATAGTGGGCCACTATGTCAATAGGCTCCCGCTCAGCATTTATCCTGACATGCTCGTAAGGGCATGTCAAGAAACTGGTCTTCCGCGATGGAATACCTAGACCGCATCCTAGACCTACTGCTAACATTTCAAGTATAGTGCCTTATCGCAAATACGCATTTTATATTCATTATTCAAAAAGCTTACACTATGTTGACAAAACTTTGCACGTCCACTTAATAATTAACAGTCCAACGTACTTTACTAAATTCGAAACCAGTGACCATTTAACGTCTGATTCAATAAGAGCATCGCAGGAAGCGACAGACACATAAATATTAATTGAACTTCTAATATTGTCTCTGTACAGTCAAGGGCAAAGTTTGGGAAGTTTTGAACTTTAAATCGATGGAATAGAGTTGAGTTTCTAAATAATTTTTTCGTTGTCCTTACGATTGTACATGACTTTGAGGATAAATCGGGACTTGGATGAGGGTTTGACTGCTATAGAAGTGACGGAATGAGTGCGGAGATTCTTTAAGTAATAATAAATAGACACGTGGATATCAAGGAGAAAAGAAATGATAAGGTATGATCGTATTTTATTTCGTTCAATTACTATTCATTCACTAATAAATTGTAGGGGAAAGAGGAAATAAGAGTACCTACAAGCCAATGAACCGTTTTAAATTAATTTATGAATTTCCTGACTATTATTTCACTATTATTTCAGTAATTTAATAAATAATTTATGATATTTTTGAACGTATTCTCTTTTTGTTTCTGGGTAAAAAAATCAAATAAATTAACTGAGTAGTGACTTCATTCAGGCTACCATCCGTATTCGCCAGTTCATTGGCGCCACTGTTTCAGCCACTAGCAAGGGACAGAACCCTACCCGAATCAGTACTGTCAATGTTTTTGAGCTTTTTTATTTGTGTTTTTTGACGATTATTTGTTGCAGAATTTTAATGTATAAAATTAAATAGTAGGTACCATAACTTCTACATAATTTTAATTGTTTTTAATCATTACTTGAGAAATAAATATAGTTTTACGTTTAATAAGTTGGAGTGTCTAATCCTTTTTAGAGCAACAAAAATATACAATAATAGCTCCTGAGCATATTTAGAATCCATTAACACAGTTTATAAGATTATGACAGTTACAACAAAACCATACGAGTAGTCCCTCTAGAGATGGTCTCATTGCTTAGTAGGACCCCAAAATTCCATATTCAAAACTTCAATCCCATAAACACCTCCCAACCCCAGCCAGCATCGCCAGTTATCGAAGGTCATAAAGCCACAGATCTGGTGACTCTATCACAGTTTACACGCTGTCCGTACGCGTTACGGATGAGCGGTCCGGACGTCCGGCACACGGGCCGTTTCCGGACGTCACGCCATGTGACCGCGGTCAGAACTCGAGCTTTTAGGCCTCAGCCTCGAACTTAGCGGGCAGCGGCGCGGGAGCGGCGGCGGGGCGGGAGCGGCAGGATCTTATGCGTAAAATCAAATAGACCGGTTCTCGAAAACAGTGATGTGGCGCGGCAGCGGCGCCGGAGCGGGCAACGAGCGGGCAGCGGCGAGGGAGCGGGCAACGAGCGGGCAGCGCACTCCTTCTTTTGCCCACAATAAATCGAGCGTTAGGAATAAATTTGAATCGAAATAAAATTGTCGCCGTTGTTCAGACATTTCGTTTGCGAATAAAAACAAATATCTCGACAACACACCCCCGAACACAACCCTTCGCCGCTAAAGCGCCGCGCGAGCTGCCCGCTTGTTTCGAGAACGGGTCTGCGTTGCCCGCCCCGCTCCAGCGCCGCCGCCGCTCCCGCCCCGCTGCCCGCTAAGTTCGAGGCTGAGGCCTTACGGGTGTATTATGCGATTGAGTGCTATTAGAGAGGTTATGGGCAAGCGTTTGGGTGTAAGATCGGATGGGGCATTTGTTGATTCTTTACGAAAGTATAAAATGTGATCGCGTTTTTATACTTTGCCGTTTACGATTGTGGGAGATAAAATTAGGTTTTTATCAGCAACTATTTTTCAATCATGGCAAATGTGTATAACAGTAACAGAGGGCTCAGTGTGAGTTTTCATTACACTTTTCTACTAGTGACCGCGTCAAAAATGACATTAAATGTATGACGGATTGTACAGCGCCCCTAGCGGGAAAAGTTCAAAAACTAAAATGTTCATACATTTTTAACCGACTTCAAAAAAGGAGGAGGTTATATGTTCGACTGTATGTATTTTTTTTTTTCTATGTATGTTCACCGATTACTCCGTCAATTGTGGACCGATTTTCAAAATTCTTTTTTTGTTCGATAGGGTACACTTCTGAGGTGGTCCCATTGTCACCAAGTTAGGATCTGATGATGGGATCCTAGGGAAATCGAGGGCAACCCTCAAATTTTATAGGCACGTATATCGTTTTTCAAACTTTTTCTTAACTTATTCAAGTATTTACTCCTGGAAATTATCATCTCATATTGATGAGCTGATTATAGAAGGTAAAACTCCTTAATACTTAGGAATTGGAAGATAATTCTTTTAATTTTATAGGTAAGTATAGTTTCTAAAGTTATTCAAGTGTTTACATCAGATATTCATCATCTCATCATGATGAATTGGTCATGGTAGGTACAACTCCTTAATGCTTAGGAGTTGGAGGATAATTCTTTAAATATTATAGGTACAAATAGACCAACAGTTGTATTCTTTCATGTTTTTAAGGTGGGCTGACGGTTTAAGGTCTTTTTAGGTTTCCGATATGGTAACCTGTATTTTGTAGGGAATATTATTTTACACTAGACATGAAGAATATGGTCTCAATGTACTGCCTACCTTCAGTGGTACCTAACATCAAGGTAATAATTAGTTAACTAAAAAGCAAGAAATAAGTAAAATTTTATAAAAAAAAAAAAAACCGACTCCAAAAAACCTACACTAAAAAGTAGAAAAATAATTACTAATTACCTACTTATTTATTAGGACGAATTAATATTTATGTAGGTATACCATGATTGATACTTTTGGAGTCGGTGCAGGCAAACTTTACATGTTTCATAATCTTGGCACCGACTCCAAAAGTATCAATCATGGTATACCTACATAAATATTAATTCGTCCTAATAAATAAGTAGGTAATTGGTAATTATTTTTCTACTTTTTAGTGTAGGTTTTTTGGAGTCGGTTTTATTTTTTTTTATAAAATTTTATTTAAACGCGCTCACTAGTGAACGCG